TTTTTGTTTTTTGTTTTTTTGTTTTTGGCTGATCTTTGTCCCTTTCAGTTCAACCCAATAAGGAAATCAAAATCATCTCAGCGGTTCGAAGGAGCAGCGTGACCTCGCTTGCTGGGGGGTCTAGTTCCTACTTCGGTATCTCTCCAAGTCCGGGGTTCCCGCCCACCGTGGAGTGCAACCCCAAATCTGGTGAGGAAATCTTCTCTGTGCTTCCTTTTGCTTCTATGTAATGTCAGAGGTATCATCAGAGGTGACTAGGAGCTAGTTATGGTGATGAAAATTCAGAATCAAGACTATGGACGAAAATATATGTGTATTGAATATTACCTACATCTGCATTTGTTTATTTCATTTACACCCTACAACAAATAGTGTTTCAGGCATGGCAGATCATGACTCAGGAAAAGTGATAGCCCTGGCAAAAAGTTTAGGATAAGCCACCCCAAACACACACACACCACGGTTCACAAACCACCCCTGTCAGGCTGATAAAGCATTGATTGCTAAACACGCATAACTGAAACAGGATAAAAACAAAATGCAAGCAGATGAAAAAGAGAGAAAAGCAGATTAAGGACTCAACCGAGAAAATCACCAAAAATCAAAGCTACAAAAATAAACACCCATGAAGAAAAAAAAGTTACAATGAAAGTTTAAGGAGAATTCTGACCTCAAAATAACATCTCAAAGGGTTTCCCTGGGGGACCGCAGCTGCTGGAGAAACATTCAGCTATCTGAAGATCATCCCCTCATCGGTTGACCGGGTTCCAGGGCAATGTGTAACAGCAGCTTTTTCCTCAATACACAGGACGACCCTGGGCAACAATGAAAAAAAATAATATTAACCCACCCACCAACACCATCACACAGGTAATAAAACACTGTCCCTAATTAGGCAATTGCCAGCAATAGCAAGGGGGGGGGGAATGGAACAGGAACATCTGCATAAGTAGTCCTTTTCTTTGAAAAAGGAAAAAAAAGCATATGGTCCTTGTGCAATGTCCCCCAACAAGGATGGGTGATATTTTTCTTTAGACCAGTTGAAATCTCACAAGCAGGCTAGTTTTCAAGTCCAACTGCATTCCTCATCAGGCTGGGCATTACAAATCAGGGGAAAGGAAAAAATAGGAAAGTCCCACCTATCGCCTTAGCCAGATGTTGAGTCCAGATGCTCTTGCAGCCAGATGTTGACACACCTCTTTCTCTCTTTTAGCAAAAAAAAAGTCTGGCCTCAATATTTGACCAAGGTGGTATTCGGGGAATTTCCTGTTTCTTCCCCTAGCTTAATGAAAAAGAGCCCAGGCACGATTTGAAAGCTAGCCTCTCTGTGAGACTTCGGTGGGCTCATAATAAAGCGATCGCCCACCATTTGTGTGGGGCCTTTTCATCTGGGGTCAGTCATGAGAACCAGGATCGGAGAAAAAGGGCAAGCAAGGAAGCAGGGAGAACCTTAGAGAGAAGAAATTTGTTCCAAGGGTGCTCCAAAACCTGATCTAAAATCCGTCACAACTCAACCCCCTGAGGGTGGACAGACTAGATCTAAAGTGGTACACTGGTTAGTCTTGGGTAAGCTTTGGGAGACCTGAGTTTGAGCTGGCATTCAGCCATAGAAGTGGCTTAGCACCCCTTCTCCCCAGACCAGTCGACATAACCCACCTCACGGGACACTTGTGAGGATGCCGTGGGGGAAGAAGAGCAAGATATATGATTTTATTTTTACACGTAGTTCTATCCTACTTTTCACCCTGTATTTAATTGCAAAATAATTATAATAATGCTCAGCCCTCTTATTTTGCCTTCTGAGGGTTTCAAACACCTTCACGTATGGGATATCTGCAGTCAGGGCTATTGTAGGGAGTTAATCCAATTCAATTTATGTACCACCAGTAAGATCTGGTGTTTGGAGCTTGTTTGTCAAGGTCCACATCCTCGTTAAGGGGTCCCTTGTCAACATGGAGCCCCTCCCCCCCATGCCCCTTCTTTTCTTGCCTGTTTGTTTATTACATTTCTACCTTGCCCATTTATTTATTTATTTATTTAGTCCCACCTATCGCCTTAGCCAGATGTTGAGTCCAGATGCTCTTGCAGCCAGATGTTGACACACCTCTTTCTCTCTTTTAGCAAAAAAAAAGTCTGGCCTCAATATTTGACCAAGGTGGTATTCGGGGAATTTCCTGTTTCTTCCCCTAGCTTAATGAAAAAGAGCCCAGGCACGATTTGAAAGCTAGCCTCTCTGTGAGACTTCGGTGGGCTCATAATAAAGCGATCGCCCACCATTTGTGTGGGGCCTTTTCATCTGGGGTCAGTCATGAGAACCAGGATCGGAGAAAAAGGGCAAGCAAGGAAGCAGGGAGAACCTTAGAGAGAAGAAATTTGTTCCAAGGGTGCTCCAAAACCTGATCTAAAATCCGTCACAACTCAACCCCCTGAGGGTGGACAGACTAGATCTAAAGTGGTACACTGGTTAGTCTTGGGTAAGCTTTGGGAGACCTGAGTTTGAGCTGGCATTCAGCCATAGAAGTGGCTTAGCACCCCTTCTCCCCAGACCAGTCGACATAACCCACCTCACGGGACACTTGTGAGGATGCGGTGGGGGAAGAAGAGCAAGATATATGATTTTATTTTATGTATTTATGTATTTGTTTAATTTATGCGCTGTCACATTAGAGTGAAGTCCTGGGCAGTTTGCAACAAGCTAAAGAGACCTTTGGGTAGAGTGGGCGGCATATAAATTAAATAAATAAATAAATATTAATAAACATAGACATTGAAACAACTGACAGCAAAAAAACCCCCTAAAAAACCAAAAACAAATGGTAGTTTACATATATTAATAAACAGATGTTGAAACAACTGACAGCAAAAAACAAACAAACAAAAAACAAAGCCCTAAAAAACCAAAAACAAATGGTAGTTTCCCCTATCATGGCAGGACAAAGGCCAGGGTCAATGGGAAAGGCCTCCTTGAAAAGCCATGTTTTAAGTTGCCTCCTAAATGGCAACAGAGAGGGAGCAAGGTGTCACTCCTCTGGGAGCTGGTTCCAGAAGGCTTGGTGCCACTGCAAAGAAGGCCCCGCCTCTTGTGGATGACTTTTGGTCCTCCTTTTGGGGGGAGCTTCACAGAGGAAGCCGAGCCCAGGACGATTCGGTGGACTGGCCAGATGCCACTGAGGAGAGACGCTCCGACAAGCAACACGGTCCCAAACGGTGGAGGGCTTTCTATGTAAGCCTCAAAAACCTTGGACCTCATCTGGGAGACCACAGTGGAGACGAGCCAGGGCTGGGGTCAGGTGATCAAACTTATAAAGGAAATAAATAAATAATCTCATGTGTACACGTGGGGCAGAGAGAAAGTGGTACAATTATATTTCCTATGGAGTAGATGGCGAACCTATGGCATGCATGCCACAGCTGGCACGCGAAGCCATTTCTTCTGGCACACGAGAAACCTTTTGAAGTGGCTGCAGCTGGGATTCCCCCTTTCTCTTCCTGTTCCGGGTCCTTTTAACTTCCTATCCATCTGCATGATTTCCCCTGTTTCCTATGGAGTAGAAGTACATTGACTCGCAGAGGAGAATAACCACAAGTTCCCCAGAGAGAGTGATGGAGCTGTAAAGGTTGAGGGACCTCAACAGCGATAAACGGCCTCCCTCATTCAGCGCAAACATGGTCGAAGAGACACAAGGATTCAAATCCAGGTTGTTAAGAGTTCAGCACTCGCAGCTGACAAGTCGGTCGGGGCTCCCTGTCCGTCCCCTTGATTCCCCTTTTAACTTCCTGTCCATCCCCATGATTCCCCCTGAAACTACCACTTCCTGTTCCGGTTCTGGTCTTCTGGGCGGCACATCAGCCACTGGTTTCTTCCCCATCCCCTCATTTTGGGCACTCTAGCTGAAAAAGGTTTGCCTCCACTGGAGTAGAAGTACGTTGACTCGCAGAGGAGAATAACCCCAAGTTCCCCAGATGGAGTCACGGAGCTGTAAAGGTTGAGGGGCCTCAGCAGAAATGAATGCCCACCGTTATTCAGCGCAAACATGGTTGAAGAGACACAAGGATTCAAATCCAGGTTGTTAAGAGTTCAGCACTTCTAGCTGAAAAAGGTTTGCCTCCACTGGAGTAGAAGTACGTTGACTCGCAGAGGAGAATAACCCCAAGTTCCCCAGATGGAGTCACGGAGCTGTAAAGGTTGAGGGGCCTCAGCAGAAATGAATGCCCACCGTTATTCAGCGCAAACATGGTTGAAGAGACACAAGGATTCAAATCCAGGTTGTTAAGAGTTCAGCACTTCCAGGTGACAAGTAGATCGGGTTCTGCTTTCCCTCGCTTTCCATTGTACTAATCCCAAACACCACTTGTGATTAGTGGTGAAAAGTGGTGAACAATAGCTTTCCATCAGCTTGGCCCCTGGCCGGGGAAACTCGGTGAGTTGTACTATGAAAAGTTTATCCACACCCCAGTTTCGATCCGAAGTCCATGCTGAATAGAAAGAAAAGTGTGCATTCCGATCTATTTTGATTAATTTGTTTTAAGAAGGAACTGGACTGAAATTCTCAGCTATCTTTCAGGTACTCCCACTTCCCTTTTTGTGCTTGAGCAGCTTTTCTATAATCCCTGCCCACTGCATTTGATGGTCAGAGGCAAGAAGGTCATCTTTTGATCATCCTAGTTGCCATGGGATTCCCCTTCATCCTTCTTCCAAAGAGCCATCTGCACTAAATCTTTTCTGCTGCACTTGGATGTCTTTTTAACATCTCCGAGGCCAAGGTCGGCCCCGCTGAGATACATTTCTGTCTCTGTAAAATGTCTTTGACCTTGACTCAGGTGTGCGCAGGCATGCATGCCTTTTCCTCCCCACCGAGAACCACCTGTGCACAGGGAAAAGGCGTCTGTCTTACCTGGTTAGTGTTTCTGGTTCATTGCTCTTTTTGCTCTGCTATGTGGCTCTTTTGCATACTTGACTCTCACATTAGATCTGTCATTTTTCTCCCTCTCTGTGCAAGTGTTAAAGAGACATGTCACCAATGAGGAGCTTCTGGCCCCTGGAGCTCCATATATCAAGAAAACGCTCACGGTAAGTGACCCCGGTCATCAGAATGTTACATTAACATTATTGCTACCGTCATTCCCTTTGACTGCTCAGTGTAGATTATGGCCCCACTTAAATCCAGTATGTTCAAGTAGAAGAATCAAGTGATAACCCTCCCCCTCTTTCTTCTAGATTGTATAGGAAAGCAGCTGGCAGAGTAATCAATGGTAGAATCCATTATGGTGGATTCCATTAGTCATGGAATCCACAATGACTAATCTTTTGGGAAGCTCACAAACAGGACACATGGCAATAGATCATCCATGATGTTTGATCGCAACTGCTCTCTTAGTTCTTTTTTATTTATTTTATTTATAGGCCGCCTATCTCTCAGTAAGGGGACCCAAGGAAGCCCACAATATTAAAAAGAATAGAATTAAAAACATAGCAATCATAGAATCATTGAGTTGGAAGGTGCCTATAAAGCCTTTGAGCCCGACTCCCTGCTCGATTCAGGAAGACAAATCAAAGCAGGTCTGACAGATGATTGTCCAATTTTCTCTTGAATGCTTCCAGCGTTGGAGAGCTCAACAGTTCCATTGTCGTACTGCTCTAACAGTTAAGACATTTTTCCTGATATTCAGTCTAAATCTGGCTTCCTGTAACTTGAGCCCAGTATTATGTATCTTTCACTCTGGGATGATCGAGAACAGATCCTGGCCCTTCTCTGTATGACTACCTTATGACTTGCTTAATCGGTTCCTATCCACACAGTGGTTTAACATAATAAGTTAAAAATTTAAAAAACAATTGACAATTGAACTATACACTAATAATATATAACTGAATAATTAAAAGCTCATAGAATCATTGAGTTGGAAGGTGCCTATAAAGCCTTTGAGCCCGACTCCCTGCTCGATTCAGGAAGACAAATCAAAGCAGGTCTGACAGATGATTGTCCAATTTTCTCTTGAATGCTTCCAGCGTTGGTGAGCTCAACAGTTCCATTGTCGTACTGCTCTAACAGTTAAGACATTTTTCCTGATATTCAGTCTAAATCTGGCTTCCTGTAACTTGAGCCCAGTAGTACGTATCTGGCACTCTGGGATGATCGAGAACAGATCCTGGCCCTTCTCTGTATGACTACCTTATGACTTGCTTAATCGGTTCCTATCCACACAGTGGTTTAACATAATAAGTTAAAAATTTAAAAAACAATTGACAATTGAACTATACACTAATAATATATAACTGAATAATTAAAAGCAAGAAGACGTTAAAAACAATCTTAATTCAGGAACTCAATCATGATCGTTTAAATCTTACCTAAAAAGGTGGCTCTTTAGTTCCTGTCCATACAGTGGTTTAATATAATAAGTTAAATTTTTTTTTTAAAAAAAATGACAATTGAACTATAGACTAATTAAAATACAACTGAAAAATTAAAAGCAAGAAGACGTTAAAAACGATCTTAATTCAGGAACTCAATCATGATTGTTTAAATCTTACCTAAAAAGGTGGCTCTTCAACTGTTGGTGGAAGGATAAAAAAGGAGGGAGCCAGCCCGATATCCTGAGGGAGAGCATTCCACCGCCTGGGAGCTGCCACCGAAAAGTGACTTTTCCAGACTTTGCTTATTAGTACAGTAGAAAACAGGGATGAGGTGGTGCTGTGGGCTAAACCACAGAAGCCTGTGCTGCAGGGTCAGAAGACCAGCAGTCGTAAGATCGAATCCACGTGATGGAGTGAGCTCCCGTCGCTTGTCCCAGCTCCCGCTAATCTAGCGGTTCTAAAGCATGCAAATGTGAGTAGATAAATAGGGACCACCTCGGTGGGAAGGTAACAGTGTTCCGTGTCTAAGTCGCACTGGCCATGTGACCACGGAAGATTGTCTTCAGACAAACGCTGGCTCTATGGCTTGGAAACGGGGATGAATACCGCCCTCTAGAGTCGAACGCGACTGGACAAAAATTGTCAAGGGGAACCTTTACCTTTACCTTACAGTAGAAAAAGGCCTCATGGGGTCAAAGGACTGCGATCCTTTGCTTTGTTTGGACACGGACGCACAGTATAAACCTTCCTTGCCTAAGACTTCCCTGTTCTAATGCAGACTGTCCCACATGGACCCCAGGCCAATGGAAAGAGTTCAGGTTGACCTTACTTGAGGGCATGCTATGGGATAGACTAACGGGGGCTATATGGGCCCCTGGCACATTTGAAGGGGGCCACAGACTGGAAACAATTCTTCACATATAAGGTGCGTTATGTGCCTTATACCAGAGGTCTGCAACCCCTGAGTTCAGGTTGACCTTACTTGAGGGCATGCTATGGGATAGACTAACGGGGGCTATATGGGCCCCTGGCACATTTGAATGGGGCCACAGACTGGAAACAATTCTTCACATATAAGGTCCGTTGTGTGCCTTATACCAGAGGTCTGCAACCCCTAGTCCACAACCCAACAGCAATCTGCGGCCTGTCCAGGACAGGGCCACAGACACAGATCTCGTACCCCCCTGCGAGTGCCCCAAAACTAGTGCCGTCACACGCATGGGTGCGAGCACATTCCACCCCCTGCGAGCATTGTCGCATGCATGCATGCATGTGCGTTCCCGTTGTGTGCCTTATACCAGAGGTCTGCAACCCCTAGTCCACAACCCAACAGCAATCTGCGGCCTGTCCAGGACAGGGCCACAGACACAGATCTCGTACCCCCCTGCGAGTGCCCCAAAACTAGTGCCGTCACACGCATGGGTGCGAGCACATTCCACCCCCTGCGAGCATTGTCGCATGCATGCATGCATGTGCGTTCCGCCCCGTGAGTGTACCAGGCACATCTGCGTGAGCGCATTCCACCCCCTGCGAGCATTGTCGCATGCATGCATGCAAGTGCGTTCCGCCCCGTGAGTGTGCCATGCGCATCTGCGTGAGCACATTCCATGCCCTGTTTGTGCACAGTGTGCATGTGAGCGAGCCCCACACCTCTGTGGGTGTGCCACGCCCCCCAACTAGTCCAGGCTTGGGAAAAGGTTGGGGACCGCTGCCTTATACAATCCTGATTCTGCCTGTATTCCTTCCATATTGTGTTTGTGGCCTTGGCCAAAACACACAGCCGCACACACACACTCACACACAAAAGACTGAGAATGGATTCGAGGACTACTGGATTCGAGGACCACCGGGCCTTTTTCAACCATGTAGCTCTACAATTCTGTGCCAGTTTTGTATATGGTGGTGGTAAGGGCATTTCAAAGGCAGTGAGAGAGAGGTGTATGAGATATTTAAATTGTCCTCTGGGCTTTGATTAATGATTTTCATCCTGCTTTTCTTCCTGAATATTGGTTGTTCTCACCTTGTTCGTTGCTAGGTCTATTCTGCTTTTTTTATTTTAATATTTTTGCAGATAGTGCCATGATAGATATTATGAACAGTTCCCTTAAAAAAATACCAGCTCTAATGTAGGGAAGCATTCCCCCCCCCCCCAATTTTTTGCAGATAGTTCCCTTTAAAAACTACCAGCTCTAATGTAGGGAAGCATTTCCCACCCTGTGCATGTGTGTTTTGGGTGCATTTATCCATTCACTCATGTTTGTTTGCACAGAACTAAACCCGAAAACTTCCCACTGTGCATCTAGGAGGGCATTTGAACAGGGGCTACAGAAAGAAGTCACTTTTTCAGGTTTCTTGCAGCTGTATTCATTAGATTAAGCTCTATCAGAATTTCTGAAAAGTGTTATGTGTTGGTGTACATGCGAAGGTCATGGGAAGCTGCTGGATGCTCTGCCAAGTGACTTGTGGGTCCTCAGAACGAGTCTTTACTAGTATACTTGCTACGTACCTCCTCACCTAGAGCTTCTGGGTCTTACATCTGGAACCATCCTCACTCTAAAGAGATGTCTCAGCCTTCTCTGGTCCCACCGGAATATGTTGTATGGCCTTAAAAAAGAATGAGTCAATAAGAACGAAGTTCTACTCTGTGTTTTATGTTTCTCTCCCTCTCTGGCATGCCATTTTTTTCCGTTTTTGAACTTGGCCTGCCCTTCAACTCCCTCAGTCTTGGGGGTACATGTTTTGTTCTTTTCATGGCTTGTTGGCTTTCCTTCCTGAAGCTGCTGCTGCTTTCAGTCTGTTGTTTCAGATCAGGTGAAGTCTTTAGAGAGTTACCCTTTCCTGCTCAGAGAGGAGCCTCCAGTAGCTTTCCGTCCCTGGGCACAAAAGTCCTGTTTCTTTTTTCAAGGGGGTACAGGAAGACAGAAGGAGTACCTTGTGTGTGTGTGTGTGTGTGTGTGTGTGTGTGTGTGCGTGTGTGTGTGCGCGCACACACCTGTGTCCTGTGATGTCTGTGAAGATTCTTAGTCCTCCAGGTGACATTATCTGGAAGTTGAGTCATGGCAACGGAATGATATGGGCAGTCCCAGAAAAGAGAAAGACTGAGAAAGCCATTGTTGCTGTTTTCCCTTTCTGTTTGCAGATTGTGGGGGATGCGGTCGGTTGGGGCTTTGTGGTCCGTGGAGGCCGGCCTTGCCACATCCAAGCGGTGGATCCTGGAGGACCAGCGGCGGCGGCTGGCATGAAGGTATTTTACACAGAAAGTCCACGCAGTTTGCCAAACGTGGACTGTTGATAGTCTCCAAAGCATTTTAGATTAGAACCATCTCTCTCTGGAGAAAGGACCAGCCATGCACCACCTACCTACAGATGAGCAGAGCCAGGAAAAGGTCAGCAGTAGAGATGGACACGAATCTTGGTTTGGAGATTCATGTCGGTTTGCAAGTATGGCGCCGCAGGTGCTGAACATTCCCTTACTCCACCTCCCTGGCCATTGCTCCACTCACCAGCCAGTGTGGATTGCTCTCCTCCTCCTTCGTTGATCGCCCACTCAGACAAGGAGGCAGGACAGGCAACCCCATGCTCCTTCCGAGGACTGGTGCTGTGCTTACAAACTGGCAGGAATCTGCGAACTGAGGTTCATGCCCATCTCTGCTCAGAACATGGAAAAATTGGCTTTTTCCGTGCTCCTTCCGAGGACTGGTGCTGCGCTTACAAACCGGCAGGAATCTGTGAACTGAGGTTCATGCCCATCTTTGCTCAGAACATGGAAAAATTGGCTTTTTCAATGACAGTTCCCAGAATGTCTCAACCAGCATGTGGGGAGAAAAAATGTAAAAAAAGGAACTTTTCCAAGGTTAGGCTAGGGTGACCTATCCATGTATAAAAATCCTGGCTCAAACAGGGAGTCTTTATTGCTCCTCCTGTCAATGTGAGCTTAGATGGAGAGAATGGTTTCAGTTCCTGGGAACCATATACAGTGGTGCCTCACATTGTGAAGTTAATTTGTTCCGAAAAAATCGCTGTTGAACGAAAACGTCGCAATGCGATATTAAAAAGCCCATAGAAACGCATTAAAACCTGCTTAATGCATTCCTATGGGCTTAAAACTCATCGTTCAGCGAAGATCCTCCATAGCGCGGCCATTTTCTGTTGCTGTAGAGTGAGGAATCCGTCCCAGAAAACAGCAGGCAACCATTTTGTTTACCCGGTGGCCATTTTGAACCCGCTGATCAGCTGTTTTAAAATCGTCGCTTTGCGATGCTCGGTTCCTGAAGCAGGGAACTGATCATCACACAGGGAAATTCTCCCATAGGGAACACTGTTTTGCGGTCGCTTTTGCAATCGCAAAAAATGCATTGTAAAGTGATTTCAACGCAAAACAGAGCACTCACTAAGCGAGGCACCACTGTACTGCGAAGGGCAGGAGTAAGAAGAATGTGGCTCCCCAGATGGGCTGCTTCTCAGCTGGACTACAACTTCCACCAAGAAGGGAAGCTGGCCTGCCTGTCAGATGAGTGATGGGTGCATGTGCAGAGGCATTAGTTCCCTCTGCCTCCTCCTGCAGCCGCTCACTCAGCTGAGGAGATGGAGCACGGATTCCTGCAGTGTTTTCTTCGAGTGGGCGGCTGCCAGAGGAGGCAGAGGAGGGAACCACACACTCCTGCTGTGACCCAATGATCTCACAAAGAGGAGGCAAAGAGCAGTGCATGCCGGCTGGTGAGTGGGGGAACCGGCCGGGGGGTGTACGGGAAGAGATCACGCGGCACCTGTGGTATTGTGCCAACAAACTGGTGCAAACCTCTGAACCGAGCGTTGTGCCCACCTCCACTCACAAGGTTGTCAAGAGGATACAATAAGGAAGAGGAAAGTGATAAACCCTTCCTTGAACTCTCTGGAGGAAAGCCTCCTGTAAAAGTGACGATCTAAGAAATGAGAGCTGCCTAACAAATTGGAATGATTTTTTTGACTTCTGCAAAGCTGGATGGAATGCCTCCCGGTAGCACCTGGAAGCTGATGGGCTGATAATGGTATAAAAGTGTATGGCTTAATTCAACAAGTGAAACCTCTCCGTTAGCCGCTCAAGCGTGAAAGGCAATGAGCACCACCTGAGACCAGTGAACCAAACCAAAACGGGTTTTGCACCCCTTGTTAAAGATCGGTTTCTTAGGAATGCTGGCAGGTTTGATGGTTTCGCTGCTTGAAGGCTTTCCAGAAGAAACTACTTGAAGACAGAAGGAAAAAAAGAAGCATTTAAATTAATCCAGTTTTGTAATCTTTCTTCTAACTTTGTTGGCATTTTTAAACAATGGGGTCCCCTACACTTCTTCTAGTAAAACCACATACAAGGCAGCGTCAGAGAAAGTCTCCTCCAGCTTCTTCTGAGTCTGGATTTTTTTTAAAACCACAGATGGGAAAAATTATATTTAAACTGAATATTGTTCTTCTAAAATATACATTTATCAAAAAAAAACACCCATTTCCCTATGTATGCGTTTGAAGTCATGTGTCCTAAGCTATGCTTTCCTAAATGTATATGTTTTGTATGATTGTTTTGAGCCATGAAGTGTATCATGATATTGCTGCAGTGAAGTGTTGCAGTGCCAAAAGAATAATAAAATAAAAAGGAGAACATTTCAATCTACATACAAGTCTTGACATAGCAAATGAAGTTGGGTTCCTTAGCAAAATGGACTGAGTAAAATCCTAGTGTGTTCAAATCTATCTCCCCCCCCAATTTTTAAAAAACTGTGCCATCAAAACTTTTTAATTTCCACATTCTTAGAGAACTTCCATGGACTGAGATTTGAATTTTATGCCTGATGAAATTGGGTGGCTCCTAACGAAAGTCCTGCTCCTAACCCTTGCCAACATTTTTTTAATTCAATGGTTCCCAAACCGTGTTCTGTGGTGTCCTGGGGCACTGCCAAACCCAGCTGGGGATGCCATGGGAAACCAATCATCCTTCCTCCCTTCTCCACCCCTCTTCACCTGAAGTTTCATATTGGCCATTGGCCAGTAAGTCAAGGGAGTCATGAGTCAAAAAAGTTTGGGAACCTTTATTTGGATCAGGTTCCTCCCAAGTTTCACTTTCTGGAACCTTTACTGACACGCTAGATGTAACTTTTCTTTTCCTCTTCTTCTTTTTTTAATTTTATTTTATTTAACAAGGGGTGACAAAAAGCAAAAGGGGAACTGAGGTTAAATGGGAAGAGGAGAAACAATAAACTATTAACGTCCATTCTATACATATTGCCATATCAAAATTCCAAATTATTCTTTTTACTATTTTGTGCCTTCCAGATTTAAGTTCTCATTTCAATATATGCTCTTCATACGCTGCCTGTTGACTCAGTCCATTTGTAGAATAAGTCTTTTCTTTTCCTCTTCTTCCAGGTATGCCAGTTTGTGTATTCTGTGAACGGGGTGTATGTTTTACACTTGGATTACCAAACCATCAGTAGCCTCATTATGACGGGACCACGAACTCTTGTGCTGGAAGTTATGGAAGGTGTTGAATGACTGTAAAGGCATATGTTCCTTCTAACAGTTTCATGAGACCAAGCAGACACTTGGGGACGGACACAATTGTACTGTCATGCATTGCTTTTCTTTGTTCCACTGGGTCCTGAAAAGTGTGGAATACATCAGCATCTGTGTCCACACGTGCTCAGAAGATCCAGAGATGAAGTGAAACGAAAGGATTCTCCTGAATGTCTTTGTCATTTGTCAAATAGTGTTGGGTTGTGTGGCTCAATCCAGGCAGTTACCACCTCTCTTCCTTGATAGGTCTCTTGCTTCCATATTCTCACGAGAGGGAGTGTCAGGAAGAGGAAGTGCACCCCCTCATCACTTCCTCTTCTCTTGCTTCCTCGGATTCTTCCTCACCCCAAATCCACTTTTGAAGGTTGGCATGGTCATGCTAAAAAAGAAAGGAAAGGGGGGAGGGAGAACATCTCAAAAGGAAACAGCTTAAACACTCTTAGATGGCCAACGGAAGAGTCACACAATGAAACAGAACAAAGAGGTCCAAAAATAAACCAGGTTGGCAAAGCAATGAAAAGGTTCAGAAAATGGAGAAAAAGAAATAATATGAAGTATACAAGGGGAGCGTTGTCTATATGGTTAAGGGAACTGCCTTATGACTCATTTCTCAAAGGGGAACTTAAAGGGGTACAAATGCCCTCTCCAGAAGGGCCCTCGCTTGAAACTTGTGGACGAAGGACTCTGCGTTATGATTCCTTTATGATTCAGAAGGCATTGAGCCATTTTCTTCATTGACTCGTTAGGAAGTGGAAGATGTCTTACAGATCCTGAGAAGATTTTTGATCTCGAAAAGATCTTTCCATAGGGAGAAAGGGAGTCAAAGAATATGACAAAACTCTGTAGTATTGCTGATTTGAATATCTCTATAACCCTAAGAATGACTTGTTTTCTCTTTCAGATGAGATCAAAAAGATAATCATTATTTATAGACTTGGCTTCAAACTTTAATAAAATGTGATTTCCCTCTTCTCTCCCCCCCCCAATAAATATAGAGAACTCATTCGTGTGTTCTGCATAGAGAGAGTGTTTCTTCCTAGTAATTCACATCTTGAAATAGGTATCCATTTGAAATTCCAGTGTTTTGCGACTGGGAAAATACCATTTTCTCCCAATATATCCTGAGAAAAATGCAATTCCTTTCTCCCCATCTCTTTCTTTTTCTCTTGGAGACACATGCACACACCTTCACAAAATATGACTACCAGCTAGTTATCTAAGCAGCCAGGAGTTCCACTTCAGTACAATTACCCTTGTTGGTTAGAGTTATTTTAATTTGTCTATCAAGTCTGGAAGGTTTGCGAGTTGATTTCCACCCTTGAATCTCAGATACCAGAAGTATATGTGGTATAAATGTGCGGGTTACAGTTATATATCCATGCACCCATTTTTGCTTTGAAATGCATAATAATACGATACTTGCCTCCAGGACCCAGTTATGTATTTCAAGTCAGAACATCAGCTTGGCCGTAAATTATCTTTGGGGGACACCGGAGAGATTAAAATACTCTGCAACGAGATACATCCTTACAATCCTGAGAATATAACAAAATCAGGCATGCATGTTTATGACTTAATCATCCCTTGAAATATAACTGGCAGTTCAACCCACATAGTTGTTTTTAAAGGGAAGAAGGTGGGGAAAATGCAAAATATTTTGTTGCACAAAGTCTCGCCCATATTACGTTTCAATATTACGCTCTTTGTACATTGTCTGATCGCTGTGTCTTACATTCCACTCTTCCATTGGGACCTCTCTGCTGAGAACATTGGAAAACCCCACCGGATTAGACCAAAGGCCGAATCCTGCAGGATCCTGTCCCCGCAGTGCTCAACAAAATATCAATGGAAAACTCAGCGCAGGACCTGAGAGCAGCAGCACAATCCTGCTTACACCCACAGTGCCTCCTTGACAGATGATCCGTAAAGGTCTTTTCTGGCTCTGCAGTTCTATGATTATTATTTCCTGACACATCTAGTGGCCATCCATTCTCTGTTTCTAATTTCAGTGCCCAATGGGGAGGGCAATCCTTCATGAAGGAGTGTCAGAATTCGGTGCTATGGGCTTCCAATTCCTAAGAATAGCACTTACAGAAAGTGGTGACGTTTTAGGCCCCTTGGGCAAAAATCATATTCACTGCCTGTCGGATCACTGTTTTCTTCACTCCCTTGCTCTCCCGGCCTCCTGCTTCTTAATGCTTCTGTGTGACCAAATCTTTTGCTGCCTTTAGCTCCGTCTGCCTGCCGTACAGCCATGAATAGAACATTCCACCAAGTGCCAGCCACTCAAAGCCAGTGACCCTTCCCTGCCACTCAGAGTCTGGGTCCCGCTGAATTTTCATGAAGGGGCTTTTCAGAAACTTGAAAGGAGCACTTGTTTAAAAAAATCCATTCCCCAAAGAACCTCTACTGCATCATGATCAAGCCTTCCTGTTTGAGGATGATGTCATGGCTGCATAGTGAGGTGGGTGGGGTGGTTTAGGAAGAGCACGATGGGCCGTACCAAAGAAAGAAGAGAGTTTGAAGATGGGCATGAAATAACAAGAGGGAATTACAACAAGGTCTTGGCCAGAGAGAGAAACTTCTTGGTTCAACAATGTCAATGCTGAACCTGGTTCAGGGAGCCAGCCCCACCCTTCCCTCTCCTCTGTTCTGTGAGAAGGCTTTCTGCCTTTTAAGTTCCAAGTGTAACATGGAGTATAATGATTGAACCATTTTTCATATATGCATAGATTTTTTAAAAATGCCAATTGTCATGGCATGCAAGGAGAGTTTCTTTGTGACGTCATTGGTACAAGCCAGTAGGTACTGTCCGAGCCAGGTTCTATGGATAACTATGTAGCAGTGGGTTAGAGCTTCTTACGGTGAGCGCAGTTAAATTGGGCAATACTTTGAAGACATTTCCGAATGGGAAATTTGTCTCTGCCATGAGTATGCCAGTGAGTGTTACATAAACCCCAGCAATGTGTGATGTGTATGCCATGTGTGATGCCCCCATTACTCCTGGAGCATTATTCTGGGCAGTTTACAAGCAGTTGAAACCAAACTCAACAGACAATAACACAAAATAACAACACAAAGAGCAATAACATAGCACAAAACATAAAATGCAAGCCTTCACAGGATTGGCAGCAGTTGGTGAAATCTCTGGAAATATTTTCTATCTGAGTGTCAAAAAAGTACCCCCTACCTCAGACTTGGGCAAAGTGCAGCCCGAGGGCCACATACGGCCTGCAAGCCACTCCTGTCTGGCCTGCGGACAGTTTTGAACATCAAAACCATTTATAGCTTTTTGTCTAAAGTTGTTCAGTTGCTTATCTTTAACAAACCACAAAAAACCTTTTCAGTATTTGTGAAGATTAACAAGTTGGCCAAACAATGTGCTTTGGGCCTCCACCTTTTATTCCTCTTGGTTCTCGCACAGCGAGGTTAATCCATTCCGGATTAACCCTCACTGTGTGAAAACATCATTGAACGGGGCAGAAAGGCTCCTTTACGCACCGTTCAGCGATGTTCCTCTATGGCCGGCAGCCATTTTCACGCCCTCCTCTCGCTTAACGAGGGCGCGAAAATGCTGCGTGTGGTCATTTTTGGGACGCTGCGCGTGGCCATTTTGGGGCTTCTGGCGGCCATTTTGTAGCCGCCGAACAGCTGATCGGCGGGTCGCAAAGCGAAGGTCGATAAGCGAACCGCTTACTGCCCTTCGCTCTGCGATTTTCACCCTATGCAGGCACCGTTTTGCGATCGCATTTGCGATCGCAAAACCAGCCTTGTAGAGCTAATTCATCGCTCTACGAGGCACCCGTTGTGTGAGGCACCACTGTATTTCTTTTCCATCACCACAACAACATTTGAAAGGGAATAAAGGAATGTTTGTCTGTTTGGGTAGATGTTGGTGGAATCCCGTTTTACGTGTATCAAGCTGACTGTATCGAGTCTTTTATTCCCTTTAGCATTGATGTGATGGTTGTATCCTTGCTGTAAAGACCCTATTAAAGTCAATTAGAAGTTCATGGAAGATGTCCAGAAACGTTTGGATCAAATGTCGGTTGCCTGATCGCTGGATGACGCCGTGGTATGGACTCTTTTTTCCTGCACCCAACAGATTACCGTCATACTGTGGTTAACTCTTTATACCTCTTTTGTGGGCTTTTTTGTGTGAATGCTTCTTTGAAAGTTATTCTTCTCAATCTGCTTTCTCAAATGTGTTGGGTTCTTCAAGCCTTGGAACTTGGAAAAGTTACTTTCTTTTGAGGACAGCTCCTCTGTTCCTCTGCCAGCTTGACCAAGCTTGTTGATTCCTTTCTTTCATGTAGAGCTGATATTCCAGTATCATAAACCTCAAAGTGTTTGTCTACTTCCACCGCTGTCGTTTCTAACTTCTTTGACTACAACAGGCTCAGTGAATACACACATACACTTTCCAACAAATATAAGGCATTGATCTCATTTTAAAAATAAAGATACCAAGTCTTTTCATTTCCGTGAGAATGATACACCTTTCTGCCAAGAAAATCTGATTATTATTATTACCCATAGCGATTTTTGTTATAAGAAGTTCAAAGCAATCCACTTGCAACTTGTTGGTGCTTGAGTTGGAGGCAGATGTAAGTCAGCTCCAGATTGCATCAAAATGAAGCTATTCTGACCGAGATAACTCATTATGGAGGCACCCCATTCCCCTTGATGCCCTTAAGGTATTGCACCAGCTAATGAGAGCAATTAAAGTTAATTAGGTGAAGAGTTCAGAGCAGGCCCCCATAAACCAGTTCCACTTGCCACTCATATTAAAGAATCTACCATGATCTGGCACATGGGTACAGTGGTCCTTGGAAGGACAGAAATGTGGGGGGAAGAGCCTGGGTGGGAGCAGCTGATTGAGTGACTGTTGGTCTCCCTAGTTTAGTCGCGTTTCCTTTAACTGGTGGGGAGACTACATTGGCCATTGAGAATCTAGCAAGAATTCTTGACATCATCAGGCCTGCTCTCATTGTTCAAACCTCCAGGCTGGATTACAGAAATGCTAGGATGATGTTTGAAACCAAAAGATCAGATTATATTACAATATAGCGGGATCCCCATAATCTGTGGGGGAATCCGTTCCAAGCCCCCCTCCCTATGAATGTTGAAAAACGTGAATTATACTGTAGCAAATGCAATTACAGTGGTGCCTTGCTAGACGATGAGAATCTGTTCCACTGAAATCGCTGTTTAGCGAAATCATTGTCTAGCGAAAAGCATTTCCCTATTGGAATGCATTAAAACCTGTTTAATGCGTTCCAATGGGGAAGAATCGTCTTTGTCTAGCGAAGATCGGCCATAGGAAAGCCGCTTTGTGAACTGCCGATCAGCTGTTTAAATAGCTGTCTTGCGAAGCTTAGGTCCCGAAAACACCCATTTTGTGAGCGTGGAGGGAGCTGTCAAAATCGTTGTCTAGCGAAAATCGGTTTGCGAAGCAGGGACCAAACATTGTCTAGAAAAATTCCCCCATAGGAATCACTGTATTGCGAATCGCTATAGCAATCACAAAAAGTCAATGTATAGCGAAAAAACTGTCATGCGGGGTAACTGTCTAGCGAGGCACCACTGTACAATGGCAATCGCTATACATAGCATGGTCTCTGGCTCCCTGGCAGTCGCTATACATAGCATGATCTCTGGTTCCCTCTAGTGGTCAGTTCTCGTCACTTCATCGTTAGAAATATATAGTTTTGGGATTTTTCTTTTAATATTTTTAATATTTTCAGATCATGGATAAGTGAATTAGCAGATACTGATCCATCCTTGACCAACTTGTTCAATTTCATCTTTTACAATTTAAACAGCCCAGACCTGACCCACCTTTAATGATACTAAGCAATGACCCTTTCCTACGCATCCCCATTGAGGGTGGTAGAGCAGGCACACATTAGAGACAGCAGACCAGTCTAGGGGGTGCAAGCCCAACTTTGTCAGTCAAGAAAGCAAAATGGCCAGGTGAGTGAAGAAGCAGTG